TTATATATATTATATATTATTATATATTATATTATATTATATTATATATATAGTATATATTATAGTATACACATAATATATACATTTTTTATAATTTACCAATTAAGTGTGCAAAATAAAATGCATAATAAATTATTCTTGCAATGTATGTTTTGAAAGACGAATCGAACATGTTACAAATAATAAATCGCTTGTTGACGAGATTCTCTATTCTGACTAGCGTAATTCGATACTGTTGAACGAAGAGATTACCGGTAATAAGCAGATGGTAATATTCTTTTGCATTACCCGGGATACAATAGACTTGCGACGTCGTAGAATCCAGAAAGAGCAAACAGAATACGAATGAAGCCGACTCGTTGCAAGAGTAGATCTTATCGCGATGAACTGTCAGGGGTGGATCACCGGATTGCTCTTATCCCAGCTTGCCCGAATGTTCATCCCCTTTGACACGCAACCCGAGCTCGGTCTCGATAACATAATAATAATAATAATAATAATGTAAAAAGAAGCGCATGGTGATGCTGCGATAAACAACGGTAGTTTCACAACAACGACGGAAACGTGATCTCAAAGCGCTTGTTACTTTATTATAGAAATATAATTTTATAAATTTTTTAAAATATTATTAAATTAAGAAATTATTAAATCTTTTAAATTAATCACAATTAAATAAGCGACGTGTACATATTTCGTGATAATAGACTGGAAAAAAAATAACTTTGTTTTTTGTGTTATGTATGTACGCTTTTTTAAATAATAGTAAATAAATTTTACGTTTAATATAAAAAAAAAAAAAACACGTAATTTGTGTGAAACACACGTAATTAATTATGTACCGGAAAATTAATATATGTTATGCGCGTTATTATTGTAACATGGTGGCCGCGTGCAAGTGAAAATCGATACCCTCTATGGGAAGCCAAAGAAACCAGTATTTGAAGAAAAACGATTTTGTATTGTACCCATGTTGTAACGTTTGCAATATGCGGCACGCGCCACCCCTGCCACACGCGCACGTGCCAGCCAATCTAAATCTAATAACACAAACAGCCTCACAATAACGTGCATCATACACGCTATCGTTTGGCGGCGGGCGGTAATGGGACACCATGTGAACTAATCGCTCCGGAGTGGTCCTTCAGATCCTGTTTCGCTATTTGTTGATCTCGGCCCGACAGTCTCTCGGGACGTGCCAAGCTCCCAAGCTGAGTTTGACGAAATCAACATATCATGCAAAATATTTTTTTTTCCATACATGTTGTACATTTGTTTTACGATTATTCATGAATATTCAGCAATTACTGCACAGGCAGTTGCGCTAATTGCATCAATAATATAAATAATTTTATAGTATTAATATAAATTTTCATACATGAAGAATCATATGTATGCAAACTACAGTGATATAATTTGTAAAATTAAAAATTGAAAAAGATTCTCTTTTAATTAATTGTAAACTATATTGACAATACGATTCAAAAGGTAAAAATGTATATTCAATACTTACTACTGGCACCGATTGCTTTCGGTTGCACCAAAGTTAAGAGCAATGAGATCAAAGAGGGTAAGGTATATAAAATAGAAACTCTTTTATCATCAAGAGCTTTTAATTCTCAAAAAGTAAGTTTAATTTATTTTAATATACACCGACGAGTGTTTCCATACGCGCGTTTTCCATGTGCGTTTTTACGTGTCTTCGCGTGCGTACAAGAACAACGCGTCTCGTAAAAGATGACGTGACATGTGTGATTGAACCAAGATTACAATCAATATGTATACAATATATATATATATATATGTATATGCATATATATATATATATATATATATATCGACATATATATATATGTATATAATCAACATCACAAGGATCACAAGAGCGCTCGGCTCCGGGACAAAGAATGCACTTCACTAGAAGAAAAGTACATACCAAGTCGTGATATGCAAAAAGGAACTCTTCAATAATGTAATAATATTAATAATAATAATAATAATAATAATAACTTTTAACATTTCCGTGTTTTTTATTCTTTTGACAAACGATACGATCTACGCTCGTAAACTGCTGCAAAACTTTTTCGGACTACCTCTTTTGGGGATTTCGATCTCTGATACATGCTTCGTATACTTTCGTGAGTTGTATGAGAGTTTTGTTTCGGGCCGGTTTTATCAAACGATCCAAATCAACTATATGAGTTTTTATACAGTTTTTGCGTTCGATCCAACTTTTTAACGTTTTGTTTTTGTTTTTTGTTTCTTTTTTTTTTGTCAGCTTGATTTCGCTCCCGGATACTGGTCGTTTATCTCTTCCTACTTCAAAGCGAATGGAATGGAACGGATTGCAACAAATTCGATTGTGTTTCGTCCACGAAATAGATTACGGAGACGTAAACTCCCGTGCGTTCCCGCTGCGCGAGCTGAGTTTTATACACGTTAAAAAATTGGATGGCGCCGATACCATAATACGGATGTGTGTGCTACGGACGCTCTCTCTACGATTTTTATATTTACATCTATTTATAATAATTTTCACTCTAGAATGACATTAGAATTGCCATTTCGTTGGATTTCCTGGAAATAATTTTTTTTTTCTTTTTTTGTACATCATCGCAACAATATTTACAAGTATTTTACAAATTACAAGTTACACGAGTGTGTTGTATTACGCTAACTAATCGATAATTGGTTAGTCATTAATCGTAGGGGGGGGGAGGGTAGGAAGTTAAAATTTCGAAGTCGAAAATGCTCTCTAAAACTATGGTATCTTTAATTCACTGATAAGCGATATGTCCGTCAAGTGGTGTCAGTTCCCTCAACCGTGTTTCTTCCGTCAGCGCGGTGTGTGAATCATATAAAATATTAGACGACATCTCTCAAAACTGTTTCGCTCGGTTCACATGCGATCGACTCTCAAATTTACAATTATTCACTAGATTTGTTTGTTTAAACAATTTGGGACTTAAAAAATTATAACGCGACAGACATTGTTCGCGAATTAACGTCAAATACAGAGAGATTACAATGTGACGTAATATTAAACAAAAAACATTGTTTAAAATGTGGTTTTTTAAACGAAAAAGCGAAACATCACAAGTACTGTTTTCATTATCAGATTAATTCAGGTCATATCGTGCGACCGAGCTACTATAATATTCGTAGAAAGACACCTTCTCGTTGTTCGATATGTATCATTTCTTAACTAGTGCGGTCATCGGTGATCGGTGCAAGACACATGTTTTGTCGTGTAGATTTCTGCACTGATTCTTGCCTGGTTCCTTACAAACTTGCTAACTTCAACTCCGACGAGAAATAATATGATGCGACGCCACACGCGCAGGTTTTGCTTTTTCTCTTTTTATCGCCAAACGAGAGCGAAAGAGAAAAAGAAATACGAGCAAGATAATGCGAACGACAAGAAGCGAATTCCCGAAGACAATGTACGAACGTGTTGTTGCGCGATAATTACACTCAGATAGAAATTTTTATCGATAGTATATAATTAAATTAAAAACAAGTACATATAATGAAATTAAATATATAATTTTTTTATTTGAGTAATTTTATCCGGTCGCAAGAATTCGCTGGATTATCATCGTACAGTGTCTTCGCGAGGGCCGTGTTCCCGTTTACATCTTCGTCGGAGTTTACATCTCGTAACACTATTTGCCGTTTGACGAAAGCAGCGGACTGGCGGCGGCTGAATATCCTTGGCTGCAGGTGGGCAACATAAATGGATTCATGTTGAAGGGCGATCCGACCACTTCTCCTAGTCCTGCAACATACCAACTGTCGGTTATACGTTAGTATAACGTGTGTGTGCGCTATTACTTACAAGCTATACGGCACAATTAAACAGTAAGAAATAAAAGCGAAACAAGCACACACATCGTAATTTTAATCGCGATAACAAAACCAAAGAAATATATTTCGATATAAAAATCAATTTATATAATAAAATATTTAATATGTTGTATTTTGTAAGAATAAAAAAAAATATTGAATTTCTTATTTCATACAAAAAAAATGTGCATGTAATTTTGTTGCACTATTTAATTCTATGTATCTGACACGTGTTCAACTCTCGAATTAAAATGCGGTTGCACAATCGATAGCGAGAACTCGTTCTTCTGTGGACAAATATGGTATCAGGAGAATGGACGACGAGGTGTGGCAGGGAAAAAAAAACCGACAAAATTGATTATAAAACCCCGGAAAAATATGTCTTCTGCAATTAATTAAATACAATATTGTGATCGCGTCGTAGGCGAGCGTACGTACATTCTCAAATGCCGTCTCTCATAATTCTTTAATCACAGTGCATAGGGTGATGGTGGTGGTGATGATGGTGTTGGTGGTGGACGGTTAGCGGTTACTGGGCGGCTGTGGCGAGGTGGTGCTGTGTGGACCAGTGCGGTGGGACTGAGGTGGTCGGTGGTCGTACTACGGGGGCGAACGCACTCCCGTCTCCGGACGTATAGAATATGCCGTATTGTTCGTGCGCTAAAACGAAAATTCACCATAAGGGAAAATCATAAGTGCGTGCATCCGAAAAGTGAACACCAAGAAGAAGCGCATGCTTGACGGATGATACGTGGGCTCGCACGTGTGCCAGGTTCGCTTTGAATTGTGCCGAATGAACGAACACTCGATTGCACAAATTATGTGTACGTAAGATTTATGCGTATGTGTTACATAATATTTAATAAAAAAAATCTACCGTTAATATTGCACCGTTTTCACAACATCGATAATGTACAACATAAGTAATTATATTGTTTGAGTATTGATTTTTATTTATTTTAGTTTTTTTATTTTGCAAAACGTGTGTCGTTTTTCGACACAACTTGGATTTTGCTTGGATATTAGGTAGAGAGAAGGAGAAAAAATATTGAAAATACATTAAGAGACTTACGCGAGGTGTAGAGGGTCGGACTGCCGGTGTACGGATTGGCGACGGAATAACTTCCGTTGGTACTGTGACTGTGTGGCGTGCTCGCTGAACTACCACAATAACCACCGCCGGTTACGACGCCACGTGGACTTGCGCTGCTACTTTGTCTGTAAGCATCGGCACTGCCGCCGACGTTACCACCGACACTTCCGTCACCGCTGCCGCCGCTGGCTCCACCGCCAGCAGTAGCTCCTGTTGTCACAGAACTACCGTCTAAAAATAGAAACCTGCCCGTCAGACGAACTCGTCAGTATATGATTGCTTGGTCGTGAGTAGTTGCCTAGTTAATAAACTTAACTTGGACATAATCGCTACTACCAACACCATTTGCGCGAAAGGGTTTTTCCCTCTCCCCAACAACAGTTCCGTAGCTATAATATATACGTACCGTCCGTCCACTTCGCTGCACTACCGTTTTCCTGCACCGTCACCGCGAGCTGACCCGTGTACGAGTTAAACGCCGTTGCCGAACTAGATGTGGGAGGCGCGGGTGCGTGCACCGAACCCGGACTTCTGGGCGCTCCCGTGATTCCCATGTTTCCGCTCTTAGGCATACTATAAAGGGCTTCCGCTAAGTCCGCCGCTCTCTTCAATACTATCTCTTTTGGAAGCTTTTCGGGGTCACCCGGATGTCGCGGAACAAGCTTCTGTAACCTTTGGAAGCCGTAGTCGATCGTGGGTTCGTTTACCGCTGAAAAAAGTCAGCAAAGGTTTGTTTGTCCTTGCTACAGAAGTCGAGTAATTCAAATTGTTGTTTGCGACAGTGATTGTATGCGCAAAATTTTATTTTTGTTTTGTTTTAAAGAGCGTCGGATATGTTCTGTAATACTTACAGACATAGACAAATCTACCAGGCTGTCCTTTGCAGAACTGCTTGCTCTTGTAATGTAACGTGACCTCAACAACGCCGGGTATTTGCCGTGCTGGTGACTGAACTTTGATCGCGTGTGGAGTGATAAACTGTGCAATCAATAATCAAAAATAAACACTTTTGTATTTGTCGTCGCAAACAAATTAATTATAATTTGAAAAAAAAAATTTTAAACTTTCTGCAAATTACTGACCTCACTCCAAACTAACATCGTTCCGAAAACAACTTGCAATCCGTCGAAGAAGTTTTCACCGATGATTATGACGGTGGATCCACCCGACGTCCAGCCTTCGTTAGGCGATATCGCTTTTATGCACGGTGTTTGAAGAGGTAGTGGCGGATATAAGCCTAAGTTCGTAACACAAAAATAACACTGTATTTATTGGGTCTCATTTGCTTAACGCATAATTGTTTAACAATCATTTATATCAGGTTAAATTTTTATCAGGTTTAATTTTACCTGGTTTTACATTCGTGATTAATGAAACAAACAAATTACGCGCTAAGAATTAGATAGAAACCAAGTGGTATCTTGAAAATAACTTTCCGAGTGACGAGAAAGAGGAATAGAGGATATGGAAAATTATCTGAATATTCTGTTTATTCGGTTGAGGCCGAGTGGCAGATATATTTTCCGGCGTGGCAGGTAAGTTTTCGAGGTCGTGGGGAGTTTGTGAAAGTGGAAAAGAGGCGGAAAATGAAAGAGAAACTATGAAGGAGAACAGAAGAGAATGAGACGCAGCAAGAGAGAAAGAGAGAGAGAGAGAGAGAGAGGGGAAGGAGAGAGAAAGAGAGAATACGAGGAAGAGACCGAGGGCTGGAGAGCTCGGAGAAGGGTTGTAACAAGAAGGAAGGGGGAGGGGGCGATCGGGGCCGCCGGTGTCTCTGCTTGGAATTTATAACCCAATGATATCATTTTGTACCCCGGCAAAGCCAAGCCACCCCCGGCACCTACCCTGGGCGAAGCGGAGCCACGGCAGAGTGGCTGACATCATGGTATATTGCTCCCAGTGATGCTCAAACACTTTCTACTTCGAGTGCTTACGTGCTGTCATACCGATAAATCTCGGCGGCTTAAAAGATCTCGACGTTGTCTATATTCGAACGTTGTTTAAAAATTATTATTTTTTGAGAGCGGTCAGAGCGAGACGATATTTTTTTTCCGAAATTTTTGTTACGATCACGTCTCCCGTGTAACTGTTTGCACGCATCAGTGATAAAGTGACAAATGATACTCGCGATAAAATATAATAAATTTCTTTCTCTAATACGCAAAACCGTGATTAAGATCTAAATTGCGCAATAACAAATACTTTACGATAAAAAAACCGCAGCAACATAATTATTGCGTCAATATATCAAACTATTGTAACATGCGTTATTTATTTTATCCGGCGGAATAAAGAAGAATCAAGTCAACAAGGTGCGGCGTTAAAGACTTGCAAGTGCGATTTTCACGCAAATGGAGATTCCTCAATGGGACATTGGTATTTATTGCGTTCAATGTACGAGAAAGTCGTTAAAGAGAGCCGCCCCCGTGTTGGCAACCATTCCATGGTAGAGAATTGTTGAGCGGCGCGGTGTGGGCCGTCGCGGTAACGGTAGAGAACGTAGAGAGGGTGGAGGGTTGAAAAGAGGAATGCAGTAGAGGAGGCCAAGGAACAAGCGTACCAACCCGGAATAAATAAAATCCCTCGTACCACTGAATGAGCAAGAGGGGTACTACTCCCCCCGATCTTTCCCTCCTTTTGCCGTTGAACTACCGTCGAACTCGAAGGAGCCGATTGTACACCGACACGTTCGGCCCGATTCCCTTTGATCACTGCGAGAGAGAGATCGCGCGATAACTTCGTTCGCTGTGGTAAAGACTTCAGAAATTTATCAGAAAAAAAAAAAAACGATTTTATCCCAACACACACAGGTAAGGTACGTCATTAGATCAACGTTTGCGCGAATCAACTTTATTATCTGTAAACATCGCGATTAGGTTTTATTAATTTAATTTATACATGTCTATTATATTATATCTATATATTGTTTATATTTTCCTGTGTTTTAGAGAATAAACTTTGAAGTTTTTCTCTTCTCATCAAATCTAAAGAATAGGAAAAGCACGAAAAAGACAAGTTACATTCTAGAGCAGTGCTGTTTCAAATGAGAAACGTCTTATGAAATACTAAAAAACAAAACACAAAAATATAACACGAAAGAGAGAAGAGTCTCGGTTCAGCAGACGGTTCGGATTTCATTACAATTACGATTTGATTTGTGCAGCAACCAGGAAAATTTGTTCGCAATGACAACAAAATTCACGGAGAGATACCGAGAGACATTCTCTCTCTTTTCTCTCTCTCTCGTGTCTCATTGGTATGCTCGTTTTGGCGTTTGGGGATAGCTAGCGGGAGGAGGGGGATTTGGAAAAAGCGGATGCGTTGGTACCTTCATTGGCGTCGCAGGAGGGAACGGCGCGAGATAGCTTAAACTTAGCATTCACAAACCAACGCGCCGCGGCAACCCATGGGGTGGAGGAGAGAGAGCGACGGAGAAGGAAACCGAATGAGAGAGGGAGAGGATAGAAGACCGAGATGAGAGAAGCGGGCCAATTCCGCTCTCTTTCTTTCCGTGTCTTTACGCTCCGCGGCAACCAACCGGGCAAAAAGAAGAAACTGAGACGTCGACGGCGGGTGGAGAGAAGAGAATCCAGGAATCCGCATAGCGAGAAGAGAGAAAGGGGAGACAAGCACTTGGGCGAAATTCGCGCGAGTAGAGAAGGGAAATAAGGAGAGAGAGAGAGAGAGAGAGAAAGAGAGAAAAAGACAGAGGAGAAACGCGGAGCGTGGATTCTTCGTTTTCCCGCATCCCATTGATTTACATCTTGTCTTAGCATAGAAAGGAAGAAAAGACGGAGGAAGAAGCCTGCGCGAGACGAGCGAGCAGTCAAGGGGGTGGTCGCGCGCGATATCAGCCGTTTGTATGCGCGGCCGACGCCAAACTTTGCTGAATTGCCCTATGACTCCATATATCCCATTCTACCGGTGCGCGCCCTCCTTGCGCCCTCTTACGATTCCGCCCCGTCACAGCGCCCCCGAGTCGTTACTACCGATCTTGAAGAAAACTGAACTCCCACTCCTCTCTCCCTTTCGCTTGGTAGATACTGCACGAAAAGGAGGAAACAAACACGCAGCGAGCATTCGAATTGCGACGTCTCGAAAGGCGAAATCGGTCGGTGAGTCGAGTTTGATCGGCGCCGAGCGGCTGAAAGCTTTACACGCGATGAATCGTATCAGCCGTGAAAAATCGATGCGTTGAATAAATGAGAACGTTTAATGTGCGCACCGGGCTTTTTAATTATCCTCCGTTAATTAATTATCATATTTTCTGCGAGTGCCTTGTTGGCCTCGACGAGAGGGCTGCCGGAGCTGGTGCAATTTCCGCGGGGGAATGCAACCTGACTGCAAAATTAAATAACGAAAAACTGCGTGTCCGGGCCAATTGGTGTTGTTTACGGGGGCACAAATCGAATTATATCGTGTAAATGTTCTCTGTGCAGTTATATATTCGCGGTTAAATATGCAAGCTGATATCGATATATACTCAATGTTCCGTATGTATATATATATATATATATATTATCTCTCTAACGAAATTGACTAATTGATGACGTGTATTATCGATATCGTACTTACTATTATACTCGCTAGGATCGCTCGGGTCCAGACGTTTCGCCCTGCGCCCGTGCTTGCTGTTGTTGTGAACAAACATATTGTCCGAGACCGCCAGCAGTGGACCCTCTACACCCACTTGCGTAGAAATGACCACCTGTTAGACAAAAACGAAAAGTTTCCGACGTGAACAACGATGTCAGGCAATTTTGAGGTGCAGGTAGTGCAATTTCGTACTTTCTTTTTTTTTTTTTTTAAGAAAACACGATTAAAATATCGCGCTGTTCGATAAACTGCGATATGTAATTAATAAACCAGAGTTGTGTGTTGTTTTTTTTTTGTTAAACTTTACATGTTTATTTTACGTAACAGAGCGTAGAAAGGCGTACCCTAGTGAGAGGGTAGACGTTATCGTGAATCATATTGCATTTCTCTCATGCGCGTCATACGTTTCGAGCCGAGTTCATCATATCTCTCGTGAACGAGCATGCACAACTCGATTTGCCGCGCCAAGTATTACAGGCATGCGATATTCGCGACTCGCGCACACACGTCACAGATATAATCGCGCAAACAGAGAAATAATATAATCACATCGAAGTGCCGATAATTTATTCGTCTCTCTCTGTATAAACAAAAATAAAAACCAAGTTTTTTTGTTTACCAACTGTCTACAAAAGTGAAAGAGATTGCTTGCTCGAACATTTTTCGCATGCTTCGGGGCGTGTTGAAAAGATTTTCGCGGTAAAGCAGAAAGAACGCGTTTTATAAAATCGAGCGAGCGGCCAGAAAACGCCGGAAAGTTTTGTCCTTCGCAACTTCGCCAACTTTCTCTCGCATGTTGGTGATATTACTCGGCAAGTAACACCGCCGCCAACTTAGGGTAAAGCGACGATAACCCACACTTTGTGCCGAAACCCCTCCCTCCCTTTACTCTCCTCACTTGTGTCGGTGGCGGAAATTTTCGCGAGGGCTGCGCGCTAAAATTTTAATTCGCAACTTTGAGCAATTCGGACGCAAATTCGAAAGCGCGTTGAATAGTTTTAATCTTGGTTCTTTGTCGTGCGAAAAGAGAAAACATATCAGACACGAAAAACGGACGAGAGTCACGAAAGAAAGAAATTAAGGTCATTGGGATCTTCCGGTAATTTATTTTTTTCAATTTTGTTCCATATTTTGAGAGAAATAATTGGGATGATACGAATGTCGGTAAATGAGAGACTGATTTCTTGTTGTGCGGTACAAAGGGTGAACAATTGCGAGGGACAAATGATGCGCTACGCCGAAGCTAATTGCCAACCCTCCCCCGGATTACGTTTGATTGATGAGAACTTTCACTTTCAACTATCGTTGTTTAATTAGAGTTACTGCGCTTACTCGTTTATTTAAACGAAATTCAGTTATTTTTCATCATACGTGTCAAATAATTAATAACCACGAAATTCCGCGAACACGTGGGATCGCGTGAAAAATGACACGCTCGCCGGCGACTATACGCGATGTTGCGGCAGAATTTCGGCGTTCTCGTCTCCGTCTGTCCGCTCCTATAATTTCGCGAATCGTGACTCGAATGACAGAGAGATGGTGTGCATTTCAGTGCCGCGGCACGACCTGGAATGTCTTCGAATCAAGCGAGTGGAAAGCCAAAAGCGATTATGACTAAGTCTCAAACACAAAATCGTAAATTGCGCCACAGGTAAATTATTTAATCGCTTTAAACTCTGTCACGAATATAATTTTCGCGTGTGAAATTAAAAAAGAGAAAGACTTTTTGAACCAAATATTTTTGAAAATAAATACACAAAAACCGGCTAAAACAGTCGTGAATTCATGCACATTGATATTTAATTTGAAAGCGAGCAACTTACCTGGAAGCGTCTCATGTCGCGTGGATTGCCGGCGTTCTTGAGGCAGTTTTGGTTACACTTAAGAAAGAACTTGAGGAAGAATCTGCAAGCAGAGAGGGGACCGTAGTTAAACGGTTGACAAGGTGCTTAGCGCTCTTCAACGCCGGCAACTTAATTAGAACGCGAACTTGGTCGGAAAGCAAGGCTGAATATTGTATAAGCCAATCGCGAACCCCGTTCCACTCTCTTCTATTATTCAGTATTTCTCTAGATTAAACCCCCGACTATACGTGCTTTCTCGGCCTTTAGGCTTGTACGATATTGTGTACTGTAGAAAATATGCGATTACTTCATTATCCCGTCACTATACATCAAAAGATGCTTTAATAAATATTAAAATTTGTATTAAAAAAAAAGAATTATATGTATATCTTGTTTTTTGTACTTCTATTTACTTTTATAAAATATAAAATTCAGAACTTGATGTGAAAAGAATATCTGTTTAAAACATAATTGCAAAGTATAACATGTTTTCTACTTAATTAATTAGCAGCGGAAGTGACAATAAAATTAACAAGCACGCGGTGTAAAAGTTCTATGTTTATAAATTTTACATCACATCGAAATCGAAATAACAGTTTTTGTATAACACAAAGGCAGACCTGTGCGTAAGTTCCACACCAGAAAAATTCTCGGTTCAATTTTCATGAATGATGTAAAATATTGAATTTGAGGAAATTTTTTTTTTTTTTTTTTGAGACGCGAATATCCTCGTTTACAAAGATGGAAGGGGTTGACTGTTAGACGGAGAGGTTTAAGATCAGGTAGCCAGACCGAAAAGGATCGAGAACGCGAAGGAAACGCGTAGGAAACAATCAGGAGGGCCGAGACGACGCCGACGACGGTGTGCTGGGGGTGAAAGGAGGGGTAGTTTTCTGCGTGGCTGGTAGGCTTTTTCTCCCGTGGGACGCCATTGTCATTCCCCCTGAAGAGTACGTTCATGGGAACCTGGGACTTCATGGAAAAATCAAACGCATACCTTGGAGTAACGCCTCTTCGTCTGCGCGCGCGCTTTTTAGTTTCTTTTTTTTTTCTCACGCAGATTGTCAAAAACTTGCGCAAAAATCACTGCGATTTAAACCAAGTCGAAGATTTTTCTTCTCTTACTTGACTGTTTTTAAGATAAGACGAATTTACCGATTGAAGTTGCCTCTGAAAACCTTTTCCAAGAAAAGGATTTAGAAAACTACACATATTTCGAATCGACAAAATATCGTCGACGGAACGTCGTTATTTTCGACGATCGGATGAAAGTCTCTAACTCGCTTGTCGGAAAATCCATAAAGCTCAAAAAGTGAAAGGTAAAATTGAAACGCATCCGTCGCGAGGGCGTGCGGAAGGGAACGCGCCGGCTGAGTGAGGCGAGGGGCGAGATGGTGGTGGCGTGCCGTGAGGGTGGGAATTCGGCGATACGGAAAGAGAAAGGGAAAGAAACGTATCGATCTCCTCGTGTTATACACGCGTTTTCGCATCCACAACCGTGGACCTCAAGCATTCACGCGCGCGAGAGTTTCAGACTAATGTTGGCGCGCGCGCGCGCACGCTTGCGTTTCTCTGCGCGAATTTAATTTCGTTTACTCTTAGAGAACGTTAAGATGCTATCGCGATGCTGGATGGGTATTCAAAGCATTGTACCTTGGCTTATCGCGACCGTGGATCTTGCTCTAAACACGATACCTTCGTCGTGCCTGAGGCGTCGCCCGACGACGCTGCCTCTAGTCGTTTCCAGATAGGAATACCATCGACCGTATACTTGCACCTACGCTATTGCGAGAACTACGCGAGGCCGCCCCCCTTTAACGACGCCGACGACAACAGGAACGAGTCGGTAACCGCCCTTGAATCGTGAGCGTTTCACTTTGTATCTATATTGAAATCGTGCGTCACCTTTATTTAATAAAACGCAACGCCCGTTATCTACCGATTGTTCCGATATATGTTGTAATTCTTCTGCGCAATGGTTTTTACACAGATGTGCCGATCAAATATATACATACATCGGGCATATAGAAATAAAATTGAAAAAAATTTGTTTACTTTACAAAAAAAAATACATCTCGGAGAATTTAGCGATAAAACGAGAGGAAACGAAATGTCTAGATAAAAGAACAGAGAGAGAGAGAGAGAGAAAGTCTCAAGACGATTGAAATATTCCGACTAGAATTTCCGTTGCTTCCAGCGAAGAAATCGGACGATCCGCTTTCAGAATTTGACGCTAACAAAATGACCCTACTTACGCGGGAGAGTTCTATGAAGAGGGAGGAAGGGCGCGCTTGTGTGCCAAGATCGGCAAAGGAAAGATAGGTGGGCTATAGATCTTCGCTTTTTTTTTTTTTTATGGGATTCGTTCATCGGCAACACTAATCATTCACGACACTCCCGTCGCGCCGGTGCCGCACCACTTTATTCCTCTTTCTTTTACTCTTACACACACGAGGTCGTTTCCTTCTGCGCGTCCTCCAAGTATTGGCTGTTAGGAGCTAATGGATTGCGTTACCGACTGATTCAAATGCGAACTGGATTTCATTTCGAACTCGATGGGGCGACAGTATATCGATGGTGTTGCAACACGAGCGCGTGCAAGAAGAAGGGCTAGTTTCTTATAGGGGATCAAATTCGATTTCAATAGTCTATTAGATTTTTCTCTTCCATCGACGGCCTTCGCGAGTTCACATCAACATCTTCGGGAAAAGTCTATTTCCCATCGCTATTCCGAACACCCGGTAGATGTACTTTACACCATCGAAACATTAGCCGGCGTTGTACGTTCTTACGTTCTACTTGCAAAATGTTGTACTTCAATGCAGATTTTTATCCGTGCCAATGCGTGTCTAAAATATATTTGTATTTCAAATGCAATATATAAAAAACAACATACACAGTTTTTGACAAATTTTAAATCAGATACACATTTATACTTGTAAAAATAGCTTGTACGTATTGTACATAATTAAATATATAATTAAATGTAACATAAATTTTTTTTTTAAATTGCACACACTTTAGTTAAATATATACATTTCGTTTGTTTGAGAGTATTTATATAAATATTATTGCATAGAAGAATATATTAGTTTTTATTTAAGCAATCTCATTTTAATGTATCAACATCGTTACAAGTTTAAACTGAAATCGATTTTACAGCAGCCCGTTTGAAGTCTTCCGGTTGTTCGCATTCGCTAACGAATTGACACGGAGGAAAATATACAGAGGCGATTCGATTGCGAAATCATACCTAGCCTACCCTTTGGAGCTCGCATACCTTTCCATTCCCTCGGATCAAATAGAATAAAACGAAGGCAATAGGCGGCAAAGGGTAGGTCGGTGGGTGCCGCGGAGACGACAAGGGAGAGGGTGAGCGGCGGTAGCTGGCAGCAGGAAACGCGCTCGCATCGTTCGCTGTTTCGCAGTTTTACAGCGAGCAACTTTGCAACGTCGGAACAGATGAACGAGTGAGGAAAAAAATCAACGATATAAATGAAAAAAAAAAAAATAAAAAAAAATAAAAAAAAAAAGAGGACTAAATATCGGAGGCCCGCCAAGGGCGAGAGTTGTACGAACAGCAAGCAGGTAAACAGAGTCGAATGAATTCAATCAAACCTTGCAGTAAATCATCGGTATTCGCACGGCAGTTTTGTTTATATTTTCTGTGTGTACCAATTAGCGATTTTTCTCGCCGATGTTCTTTTCTCCGCGGAAACCATTGACGATCGACGAAACAAAAAAAAAACAAAAAAATTCTCACGCTCCACGTGACAAACGTAATTTATAGATGCGGTTGCCTCCCGATTTATGCGATATAATAAAATATAGCAAAACGTAGATAATACATAACATATTGTATCTTAAAAATAATATAAGAATTTTTCAAAGATATAATTTTTTTTTAAGTTTTGTCATGTGTGCGCGAGCATTTTAGTGCAAATAATATGAGAAAAAGTATGTGTGTGCGCGCGCGCGCGCGCGCGTGTGTGAGAGAACGACGAAAAGTTCTTCTCTCTTTTCTTTGTTTACATGCCACCCGGTACGGCGCTCGCGGGTGCCAAGTCTCAAGTAAGTACTTTCTGATCTAGTAAATATATTTCCAGCAGGGGTTGAATGGATATAGGGGGCTTACTCGGGGACTCACGCGTAATAGTTCCAAATAGGGTGGCATTACGCGTATCAGAAATCCATTTTCTCCCACGTGGGAGAATCTTTAATCATGTTTTCAGTTCTCTCGCCCGTACGCGCCCTCTCTTCCTTCGAGAAGAGCCATAAAGAAGCGGATATAACGTCGCAAAAAAAATCACCGGTAGGAATCGCGTAGATAAAGACTGTTTCTTTTTTTTGTTTTTTTTTTCACTCACATTCCGCCACATACCCCATCAGAAATCATTGGTCACTTAGCCGCGTTTTAACCGTAACGCCGAATTTCTTGTACGTGATCAGAAAAGAACACGCAGGGGAGATTCCGCTCAAGCGACAAAATCTCGCCGAAGAGGCGTGGTCCGATAACGTTCTAATCACCCGCTAATGTGACGGAACTCTACTACCATTTTGCGATCTCTCTCCGTAATGACGATCCCAAGTGGTTAATAAAAAAAACAAAAAAAAAACAAAAAAAACAAAAAAACAAAAAAAATTGCTTGTATCTCAGAAAATGCCAAGATTCGTAATATTCGCACACACAGCGCGAAGAACGTTTTCCACTTGGATCTACATCTTTCGTGTAGTAATACCGATAACTTCTAAGCGATCGGATATATTTAAGCAAGAGAACGCTCGGGAGTAATCACGAGTGCATAATGCAGACGTGCAAGACGTCAATTAGTAAGAATGTGTACGAAGGTCCGTAAGGTATAGGAAACCACCTAGAGCTGTATGCCTTGCATACACCTTAACCGGGGGTTAGTAAGGGGTTAGCAAGGTATCAGGGGATGCTTAATGTTTAACTAGCCTCCATTACGCTCACTGCCTCCTCTTCCAGCACACACCCTTCCTCTCCTTTCCGCACTGCCGTCATCCAGTATCTACCGACTCGTTCCTTCGGATTCTCTCCTC